TGTCTTTGTTACCAGCTGCCGAATTCCTTCCAACAATCTTCTCAGAAGAACTCTGCTTGTCATAAGCACCTCTATCAGTCTTATCTTCATCACTATCTTTCGATAGATTTTTGCTGACATTGATGTTAGTCTTATTCTTTTTCTTATCCATATTCTTACTGCTAGCTGCTGTAGCAGCCGACGTTAAACTGCTGCCTGTGCCTCTAGTTCCATCCGCAACTCCAGTGGTGAGCATTTCGACGACGGGTACTTTAGTTGGTGACTGTTGGAACGATAGTGAATTTAGTGAAGTTGGTGAAGTGGAGAAGAACAGATGATTCGGTGGTGGCGTTTGTGGGGTTGGGAAACGTATCGTTGACGGTAAAAAGTGGCTGGTTTGTGGGGAGAATTTCGATGCGGATTGATAGTTCTGCGGGAATTTCGGCGTTCTGAACAGTGGATTTTGTTGATGACGTGCGTTCGGTTGTGTTGTAAAATCACCCGGTGGATTCATCGGGTGGAATATGTTCCGAGTTTGCTCATCGCTGAAGCTGAATATACTCGAATCAAATCGATCGAACAACGAATATACACTCGTCGGGAGTGATTCACGTTGTTGTTGTTGTTGTGGTTCACGAGATCGCTGAAGCACATTTGGTTGAGATCGCAAAGGAGGTGGAGGAGGTGGAGGAGGGGCCACGAATGGTCCCGGAGCACCACCACCACAAGAAGAAGCGGAGGCCTGTCGGGACGTCGGAGGAGGCATTGTGAACAAAAATGCTGGTGCTGGACTTGTACTGGTCGTTGTGGTCGTCGTGGTTAAGGGAGTCCGACCGGGACTTGTCAGTGTCCATGGATCGAAAAAGCTATAGGACGGCTGACCAGCACCACCAACACCTTCTAGCGGGGTCAATGATGAAAACGCCTCCAAATATGGTGCATTCATCCCACCAGCAGTAACTGCAGACGATTGCTCTACGCCGTGAGGACTGTTCAGTCCATGCAGCGTGTCCAGCAATCCCATCTGCTGATTACCACTTCCTTTTGTTGTTGATTTCCAGTTCGATTTCTTCCCCAGCGAATTATTTTTACTCCCAATCGGTGCCTGCACTGTTCGGTTTTGAATGGCACTATTCGTCGGTTGATTAGGCTTTTTACGGCCACTATTCAATTTCTCCTGTTGTTGGATAGACGAGAACATTTCCGATGCTGATGGTGCAGGAGCGTTTGCAGCAGTCGCCTTGCAGCTCTCCGGCGGCGACTTCTCCACCGCTTTAATATCGTTTAGATTCGTCGGATCTTGCGATAGTTTGCTCAATATTCTCATCATATCGTCCGTTTCGCTGGGTTCATTTTGCGCACGTTTATCGTCATCCTTTTGCTCATTCTCCACATTCATATCATCAAACCCAACCATTAACTTTTTCAGAATATCATTCACCAACTCCTCTGATCGCATTTCATTTTCACTCTTTGCAA